GTTGGGGTGTAAACCGGCATCATCACCCATGATTTCAAACCTGAAACTTACTGCTGACGATGAGGAATTGAGAGATCCGATTGTCTATCAGAGGTTGGTAGGTAGACTTATTTATCTAGCCAACACTAGGTCAGACATTTCATTTGCTATTAGCCAAGTTTGTCAGTTCATGCACAGGCTGTGTCAGCCCCATCTTAATACAGTTTATCAAATTCTTCGGTACCTCAAGTCTTGTCCTGGACTTGAGTTGTTCTATGCATCAGGATCTCAGATTGGTACTCTAGCCTATTATTCAGTTTCAAATTATGGGGGAGTATGTGACGGTCATTCCACTACGGGCTTTTGTGCTTTTCAAGAGACTCATCTTATCTCTTGGAAGAGCAAGAAGTAGACAACTGTCTCTCGTTCGTCAGCAGAGGCAGAGTATCAGGCACTGGCATTTGGCATATGTGAGATTATCTGACTACGATCGATTCTTGGTAAGTTGAAATTTTCAGTGACTTCTTCATTTACATTATATTGTGATAATCGATCTACTATTTAGCTCGCTTCTGACTCTGTATTACACGAGAGGACGAAGCATATAGAGATTAATGTTCACTTTCTTCGAGAGAAGGTTCGTTGTGGTATTGTGACTCCATTGTTTGTGAGGAGCAGTGATCATGTTGCGGATATTTTTACCAAACGTGTCACTCTATCCATTCTCCGGGACTCGGTTGTCAAGCTTGGCTTAGTTGATATTTTTACGCCTAGCTTGAGGGGGAATGTTGGAGTATAGTCTAATTTATTAAGACTTCTTTTCCCTTTTTACCCTTATTATGACTTTTATATTTTGCCTAGACTACAAGGATGTTTAGGTCACTTTGTATTGTTATTATTATTTGGCTATATATACGGGACTCTACTCTTCGTTTGAGTATCCCTTTTCACTCATATTCATCTCAAGTGAATTGATACAAAGTTAGTACTTTGATATTATTAGCAATAATTCTCCGTGAGAACAATACTCTACTTATCATTTTATTAGTTGTTGATTGTGTATACTTGCACGTAAATTGTCAATATCAAATTTGGACAACAACAGATTAGCAATCGATTTGGTGTAGAAATATATTACATAAAGGTAGGCTCTTTAAAGAGCTTGCTGATCTACTTCGTTTGATATGTATGAAAGAAGTTTATGTTCAGGGTTCCAGTTGATGGGTATAAGGAATGTGATTTTTTGCCTAATAAGATTTGAATGAACAATCTAAAATACCCCTAATCTGTTCTCCATATGGTGAACACCTGAAACATTATGTTCAAAAACCTAACGATTACTGACACAAAGACTTAATTGCTAAAATTTTAGAGATTAAGGGCTCAATTGACACTAAATTAGTTCAAGGGCTCAATTGCTAAAATTTTAGAGTTTAGGGGCATAATTGACACGAAAATTAATTCACAGACTTAAGTGATACAAATGTCACAGTTTAAAGGCCATTTGTATAGTTTACTCAAAGAATTATTGTAAATATTTTTAGGCATACAATTAGTTTTACTTAATCTCTGGGGTCATAAAACTAATACTTTGTTTGTAGATTGGGTTTGTACCAAGCAAATGTCCCTTGGGAAACATTGTGTAGCCCTTAGGTTTTTTTTTTTTTTTGGACCTTGGGCATGTCCTAAGTTTCATTATAATATTTATATCTTTTAGTTAATGACATTATTTAACTTCAAAAAAAAAAAAAAGAATTGTTCATTTTCAATAATAAATAGTTATTTGACTTTTGGCTTGCAAAATAGGATTGAAACAAAAAATTGAATATTTGCTTCAGCATTCAACCGATGCAAAAACTTAAATCAAAATAATTTAGGCGGGATTCATGAAGGCATATGTAAATAGAACTATATTACACCGGTGCCAATCATACATGAGCCTAGTCAACTCACCCTTTTTTTTTTGGAAGGTAAACTATATTCATAAAAGAAATATACAAGTCAAAACAAAGGGTGATGCTTACATGACAGTGTGCATCCACCCATTACAAAAGAAAGGAACCTAAAAGAAAAACAACATACCAAGAGTTTGGAATTCTAAAGTGTCAGCCTTGACCTGGTACTTTCAATAGAATCCTGACTCAATAGGACATAGAGAAGATAAAAGGCCTCCATGAACAAGGGTCTGCACATTCAAAGAAGTTTCATGGGTTAATAATTACCACTATTGAGCCACTTGTTGATTATAATAGGAGTTCCTAAATTTCAAGGACACCATCCTATCCTCGATGATTTGCAAAATATTGCGCTGAGTTGATTTAAGATCTTTAAATTAATTCCTAAATAACCTGCTGTTTCTTTCTCTCCAAAGGCAGTACACTGTGGCTTGAAGGCTTAATTTCTGCAACACTGTCTATACAGATTTGCCTTTCCAATTTTGAGCAACCCAAGCAATAAACACCAACCATGTCTTGGGTTGCCAAGTTTGAGTGAGTATGGTCTGTAGCTGAATCGAAACACTCTGAGAATAAGTTCACTCAAAGAAAAGGTGGGCATGTGTTTAAGCACCCCGTCTACACAGAACGCAATTCACTCACACGTTAGGATTAAAAATTCTATCCTTAGTACTGAGTCTCTCATTAATAGCCAACCATAAAATAATTCTCATTATGGGAACAACTTGTGTGAACCAAATACGATTAAATCATGGCACTTTTGGGTTTGGATTCCTAATGACTTCCCAGGTAGATGCAACAGAGAATTTGCCATTGACAGTAGGAGCCCACTTGACGCCAACCACTTTGGCTTGCTTGGGGCATATGAAGGCATAGTGCTTGAAATATCACATAAATCAATAGTTGGAGTTTGTAGCCACTGCCACTGGTTATAAATAATTCTACTCACTTTAGCTTCCTTTGGTAATCCAGAATCAACAATAATTCTGTGGTTCCAATTCAAAATAAGAGGCCCTCTTGGATGCCAATTGTCATACCATAGACTTGTTGTATCCATTCCCAATTGTGTGGATCAAGTGAGGTCTAATCCAATCCCTCAGCTTTAACAAATTTTGCCAATTCCATGAACTACTGCTTGATGGCCTTACCTCCCAAAGGCTCCTCCCCTTCAAATGGTAAGTGTGAATTCATTTGGCCCATAGATTCTCTTTGTCCTCAAAAAGAATCCATAAATGCCTCAACATAAGAGCTGCATTCCAAATTTTCAAGCATTTAATCCCTAGACCTCCTTCTTGCTTTGGCCTACACACATCCTTCCGAGCAATTTTGGCCCTAGTAGTTTTAAGTTCACCCCCCTTCCACAAAAAAAGTTCGCATGATCTATTTAACTCTATGCAAAACTTGTTGTGGTAAGATAAGGTGAGTTGCCCAATAAATATGCATCCTAGAAAGGACAGAGATGATGAGCTGCAACTTGCCCGCATAAGACAAGAATCTATTGGTCCACCCCTTCACTCTACTTTCAATTTTCTCAATGAGGGTTGTGCAGTGTATGGCTTTCAATCTAGTAGAGATGAGAGGCACTCCCAGGTATTTGATAGGAAGGCTGCCCCAGGGAAACCAAAGATTAGCATGATCTGCTCCATATCTTGTGGTTGGATTGCCGCCATGAACATATTACTTTTGGTACGATTGGCTTGTAGTCCAGACACTCACTAAAACTGGTCAATGGCCTTCTTCAATGTAGAGACAGAGCTAACATCCTCATGACAAAACATCAGCAAATCATCTACAAAAGTTAGCTGATAGAGTTTCACCTTCTTGCACCTCCAATGGAATTTAAACTTGTTATTAGACCTGATGTTATGTTGAACAATCAATGTAACCACTTCCAGGGCCATAACAAAGAGGTAAGGAAAAATAGGATCCCCTTGCCTCAATCCTCTCACATTAGAAAAAAAAGCCTTCTAGTTCTCCATTAATGTTAACATAAAACTTAGGAGAAGTAAGGCAAGATCATATCCACTTTCTCATCATTACTGAAAAATTAAAGGCACCTAAGGTGTCCATCTAAAGTCTCAATCCAATGTATCGTAGGCCTTTATATGGTCCACCTTGATAGCACATCTGGGTGACCCTCCATCCTTATGGTAATCCCTCATAATCTCTTGGGACAAAAGAATGTTATCACTTATTCCTTTTTTCAGGGATGAATGTTGATTGATTAAGGCTAATAATATCCTTAAGTGCACCTTTGCTTCTATTAGCAATAAGTTTTGAAATAGCTTTGTAGAACACATTGCAACATGAAATAGGCCTAAACTCCCCCATACATAGTGCATTAGGAGTTTTAGGAACCAATGTGATGATGGTGGCATTGAACTCCTTCAACAGAATCCCATTAGAAAAGATTTCTTTTATGGCAGTTGTGATGTCCCCCTCCAATAGCTAGCCAAGCTTTCTTGTAGAAATAGGCATTGAAACCATCTGGTCAAGGTGCTTGTGGTCATTAAAAGAGAAGACTTCCTTTATCCCCTTTGTAGTAACATCCCTAACCATATCAAATGCTTGTTGTTCTGATAATTTCTGTTGTACAATGCTCTCCAGTAATCTACTTCTATCCTGTGAGTTTAATATAGGACTCTTGGTTCCTAGTAGTTGTTGGTAAAAAGAAATAGCTTCCTTCTTAACAGCCCTTTCTCCCTCAATAAGCTCACTATTTTCTGTTTGCAAGCATAAAATCTTCTTTTTATTCCTTCGCTTTGTTATGGTTTTGAAGAAGTAACTTGTGTTTCTATCACCTTCTTTTAACCACAAAACCTTAGGCTTCTGTTTAAGGAAAGATTCCTCATTTCTAGCGGATGTTGAGTAGGTAGCAAGAAGTTGCCACTCCTCAAGTCTCAAATTATTGTTAAGTGGATCTGTAGCTAACCCTCTCTTACAGTTTTCCAAGGCCTTTTTTGCTTCCCTTGACCTATCTGAAATATCACCAAGCTCTCTACTCTTTGCCTTGAATGATTCCTTAAGTTTCTTCAATTTGCAGCACACCTAGTATTATTGAGTTCCCTAGATGGGTTCCCTCAAAATCTGTTTAACCATAGGTAGAAAGTCTAGCCTCTTAGCCAAGAAGTTAAAGAACTTGAAAGGCCTTTTAGCCAATTGTTGAAATATGATATTCCATTCTTCATTCACCAGCACCCTATTGAATTTCTTGACAATACACCCTACTTCAATTCTGCGATCACTCCATGTAAATAGGCAACCAGAGAACTTAAGATCCACTAATTCAGCTCATTGAAGACAATCGTCAAAATTCCAGCATGATAAACTAGATTCCCCCAAAGATGTCTTTTATCTTGTTCCTCATTAGATCCATACACAAAAGAAGCATAAAAAGAGTCATTTGTCTCCAAGTGATGAACAAAAAAAATGAACACCTTGCTCAGTTGCAGAGATTTTATTCACTTTCAAAGTATGAGGGTTCCACCCAACCCAAATCCTTCCTTTGTTGTGGCAATTGTAATTGTCCACATGCTCCTATTGTCCAAACACATTTCTTATAGCCACATCCTTGTTAATAGTTCTAATCTTGGTCTCCACTAGACTTAATAAGTCCAAGTGTTGATCCCCAATCAATTTTCTAACTTCTCCATGCTTCTAGGGTTTATTCAACCCTCTCACATTCCAACAAGAAACTTTTAACATAATGATAGAGTTTTTTTGGTTTTGAGGTGCTCCAACACCTTTACTTTTCCCAGTTTACTGCGTTTCTTCTTTACCTTCTTCTTTTTATGTTCCCCCTCACGCAAATTCTCAACCTCTGGTTTATGCCCAATGGATTTAACCTCCAACACTTGTCTCTTGTTAATAGCTGCATTACCACTGTTAGTACAAGGGATAGAGGATAAATCCACAACAATTTCACCTCCGTCCATATTTAAGCTTCCAAATTTGTTAGGGGACATAATTGGCTTTGCAAATTGCTCTGTATGATTTTTATCACTTACAATAATAGCAATGATAATGTTAGTAGTTACCTGGGTTTCATTTTGTGGTCCATTTGGACACAGGTTTGCAACTAACTTGACGACACTGCTGCTATTGGCAATCATATTTCCTGTTTGAGGTGGGCTTTTCCCAGGTTGTGGAACCTCCATGGATCCTCCCACATCCCTCAATGGGGTTATAATGGTTTTTCCCTCGTCCTTATTACTAGTGGCATTCATGTCTGGCTTTGTCTAAGAAGAGTAACTTGCTCTTATTTATGAGCAATAACCTTCTTTGTGACCAAAACTTTACAAGGTTGACAAACACTAGGCTTTCATTGATACTCCATCTTTATTTCCACCGTCTCTGTTTTGTCCTCCATATCCATCCTAAAATCAAATGCCTCTACAAAATTGGCATCTTCACTCACCTCAATGCAAATCTTTGCAAAGTTAAGCCTTTTTTTATTGGTAGTCAAGGTCAATTGCACTAGCAATATGGCTAAGACCATCCACACTCCAAAATTGCAATGGTGTATTATAAAGCTTGACCCAAAGAGGTATGGTGGAGTGATCCTCATTGGTAAATAATAGATCATGGGTCCATTTTTTCAAGATGAATGGCCTCCCTGAGCTGAGAATAACCAGGGGCCAACCTCAAACACCTTAGTTTGGGATTCATTGTCTATGAACTTAAAATAGTAAAATCCATTTCCATTTACAAGAACCTCCAGCAAACCCATCCTATCCCAATCCTTGTGAGCAATGAAGTTAACTGTGGAATATGACAACTCTCTCTATAAAATACCCTACAAGGCAATTTTGCCACTCAAGGCATCCCTGTTTTCTAATTTCAGATGGCGGCTTGACAACAATTCTATCATTTTCTTTGCAAGGTTTGAAATACTTTAACCTCATGATTTGTTGTTTCCCCCCATTAGCTGGGTTTCTTTCTTGAGGGTTACCTCATTTGCCTGCCTTCACAACTTGGCTCCAAGACTTCTTAGGTGGGGGTGGACCTTGTCTCTGTTGACTGTTATTCGCTGGCTCTAGTGCCCCTTTGTGTAGGTCCAACTGAGCCGTGGCCTTGGATTTCCCTTTGTTAATAGAAGCCGGTGCTTTACCCTCGGGGTTAGTACTAGCTTCATTAACTTGCTTGTGGGTTACCCCTTTTTGTTTTCCTATATGTCCTTGGCCCTCCGTAACTGCTTCTTCAATAGACATCAAAGAGGGGTTGATGTTTTGGTTTTTGTTTGGATTTGGTGACTCATTGAATGATTCCATCATAAAAGTGAGCTGACAAATGGGTTAGTTAAGGAATGTGAGTAATGAATAATGGAGGGGAAATGGTTGGGTAACGCATTAATGCAAAATGGGTGTCAGATCGAGCAATTTGGATAGAGATCTAGAAGTGGGGGAAGTAACTGAGAAAGGGTTTTGGTGTTTGAGTTTGTTGATTTTGGGATTTTGGTGTTAGAAATGAGAAAGTAAATATGGGATGTAAAGGGGTTTGGTTGTCTCATACTTGCCAAATCAAAAAGGAAAGGGCAAGATGAGGAGTTATAAAAGTGGGTGGGCAGCTGAAAGGAGAAGAACGGGTAATTGGTGAAGAATAGACAATAGATGGGAGCAAGGAGATCTCAACAATGGTGATTCTGGTTCAAGGTGGGGGAGACGGACAAAATAAATGAGTCATTTTTTCTTAATTGGCTTCAGTGCTGAACCAACCTATTAAGAAAAATGAATTCTGGTTAACTCACCCTTGGTCTTGGTTAATCTTAGATTTTCACTCTAGCTGAAATAGAGGGTCATTCAGTCATCCACCCCCATTAAATTCAGCAAAAATGATTTAATTATTTGTTAAGAGTCATTGGTGTCCTTCCTTCCTAAACAAGGGTAATTGAAGGGGAAAAGAAAGATTGGGAAGCCTGCCTCTTTGATTTACCTAAGCTCAAATGATTTTTCTTTTCGTTATACAATTTATATCGTAAAAATTCTCAATCACTTAATTTATAACCACTATATTGAAGTTTTGCAACAAACTTAATAAACTTGCAGACATTTCAATACAGTATGATGTACTAAATGAAAGCTATCCCTAGAATGGAAATGTTCAAACCCAAATAGGGCATTTCGTTGTTTTGTTTAATCCATCAACTGATTATGCATGCCCTATCGATAGGCATTGAACTATTGTTGGGGTTACATCTATCTAGCCCCATGAAGAAGGTTCTCTAGTCTACAAGGAAAGACCCAAATGCCGACAGCAATATCAAGCAACTACTTTGTGAAAGCAAGAAGTTATCCCATTGATATCGAAATGGGAATTCTAAGGACAATAGTTTCCATCAAGTGCCACCAAAAAAAGGAAGAAGAAGCAAAATAGTGATTCAAAACATGGAATTAGGACAACAACTACTAAAATTATTGCACTTGAAAAAATATATATAGTTCTTTCTTCTAGTTCCATGAATGCTGTAACATATCAGAACTATAGAGATGGAAGAATGCAAAAGTTATGCATTAAACACGAAAAATTAAAAGAAAGTATGCAATGAACATCACTAAAACCATAAGCCAAGATGTTGGATAGTGAAGGTTGAAGGCTAGAAGATGCACAAATGTGACAACAAATCCCATCTTACATAGAACTATTCCTAAATTTGATGTAAAAGTTCATGGAAATAAGAACTTACAGTCGGTCAATTTAGCAAATATGTTTTATGATACAAAATTTAAGGTAATTTTTCTTTCGGTAAGAAAGATTTTTTTCTATTAGACGAAAGGATATTTACAAATAGTATACCCAATTAAAAATTTAAGGTAGTTAAAAGAGACTAAAATTGTCTGAATCTTAAAAATACAAATCAGAGGCACATAAATACTAGCCCCTCGAGATGTGAAAGAGATAATTCTTTAGTCATTTAGATTGTATAAGAGTATTCTCTTCCAATTAGTTTGTTATCTCTCTAGCGAGTTTAAGTCAGGTGGTTTAATTCGGGCATCTTCTAAACTATTTTGTATATCTAATTTGTTCATCAATGAGACCAAATGATCAATGGGTAATATCACTTAGCACATGCATTTTTTGTTTGGATCACTGATAGAAGGCCTTAAATTGCCTAAAATGTTCGCTAACTTAAAATATTAGAGGTTAGCAAATGGGTTTTTTTGTTTGGATCAGTGCCCTTTTACTAGGAAGAGCCCTCTTTCCCTCTCAGTTTCTTTCTAGTCATCGAGTTTTTTCAAAACACTAGGTTTACTTAAGAAACTAGACAGTAAGAAACCTAAAACATCCTTCAGTTCTTTCCTATCATTTTGTCAACTGTAAGTGAAGGATGTGGGAGGAAGGGTGCTCTCATCATATGGGTCCTTGGTTTTCTGAGCAAAGAAGGTGAGTATACTCGCTCAACGCAACTCAACTCAATTTGACAGTGACAAAAAAAAAAAACTCAATTTAACAAAGCATTATTATATATATTTTGAGTTGAAACACAGCAAAAAAGAGAAATAAAAATGAAAAAGAAATGAGCAGATTATTATATATATTTTGACAAAAAGACACATCAAACAACTAAGAGGTAAAGAGGAGCTTTCAAGCTGACAATTTTACTATAAACAGCAGCAGCTCGAGAAAGTTGGGGTTAACTGTTAAAGAAATAGAACCCTAATTTCTGATCGATAATCTGAGAGAGGCAAACGGCACTGTTTTCTCTCTCTCAAACGCACACAGAGACAAATATGGAAAATATACAGACAGAGGGGGTATGGGGACTGTGGTGCACTTGTTGAGAGCGGCCATGATACTCGTGCCCCATTCATCTTTTTTTCCCACTTCATCTTCATCATATGAGATCTTGGGAAGACATCTCTCTCTCTCTCTATCTATCTATCTATCTATCTATGTTCAGACAGAAAAACTGATCCTCGTGTAGATTTTCTGCTATGTCTTTTGATATAAGGTCTTCATCATTATTTGAAATCTTTATAGAACACATAGTGATACCTTTTTGAGTAGGATAGGAATACTATTCTTCAAACAACTTTATCAAAATATGGTATAAACAACTGGGTTGAGAGAGAGAGAGAGAGAGACCTTGAGCTGGCATACTCGAAGAGCTTTCCAGTTGCAGAGAAGACAATGAGAGCTAATTCAGCATCACAGAGAACTGAGAGCTCCTGAGCCTTCTTGAAAAGCCCTTTTCGTCTCTTTGCAAAAGTCACCTGCCTGGCACTTAAGTTGTCGATCGTCCTGATCTCAATTCTTTGCCTCACCATTTCACCTCAAAAACCTCCAAAAAAAAATCAACCAAAGTCTCAGCACAAAAGTGATAAAAAAAATTGCAGAAATTATGGGTTTTTGTGGTTCAAGAACAAGAAGCGCTGCACATTTTTTAACCACACCAAAAATCTGAAACCAACCCTTGACTCTATATTTGTACATTTCTACATATTTGGTATAAAGAAAGAAAGTTCGTAGAGAGAGAAAGTCGGAAGAATGATTTTTGGTTCAAGCAAAGCCCCAAGAAAGAGAAAGGCATATTACTAAATCAAGAGAAGAAAAACTACGCAGTCCCAACCCTAGAGAGAGAATGCAGGAAACACCTGCAAAAGAGTAAGAAGCTCAAGAACCAATAAAACTCCTTTCAGTAGCTCTCTGAGTTTGCAAATTACACGAGTGCGGAGGTATGAGGTTTGGTCAGAATTTAATACTCTTTTTTGCGTCTCTGTGATGTTTTTAATTGCTTTTAAGGATTCGGACCACCAAATATGGGTTGGAATTGTTTTTAAATACTATTTTTTTTATTCCATCACAAAATGATAGGTACAAAGTCTTTTATATTTCATAAAGGGTGAATTACACTTTATATTTTAAAAGATTTAAAAATTATCACTTTATATTTGTAAAAATTAAATTTTTTCACATTATATTTTTAATGTATGAAAAATATTATAATGAGATTTTTTTCGTTAATTTCTATTATTTATTCTGTCAACGTCAATTTATGAGTTTGGACAGAATAAGCAACAAAATGATCACATTATAATACTCTTAATATATTAAAAATATAATATAAAAAATCTCATCTTTGAGAATATAAAATATAAAAACTTAAATCTTTCGAAGTAGAGAGTGTGATCCTCCTTTTTTAAAATGACATGTATTATTTCAATGATTAATGACAATAAATAATATGAAATAAGATTGAGAGTCAATGATTATTTTTTGTTATTCTATCAAATATTTTATATTTTCTGTATCATAGCGTATCCACAAAATAAAACGGCACCAGAGACAAACTAGTTTGACTATGGTATTAAAAAAAAAAATTTAACACCATACTATTTATCACTTCTTCTTAGGTATTTATGCCATGGACCTTTGTAGGGTAGACTTTGTTTGGATTGGGTGGTATATGATTCCATTCGTGGCTAAACAGTGATTTCTGGTAATTGTCTTGTCTTAAAATAGCTACGCGAATTAAGTAACGATTTGAGAGTGTCAAAGCAATCAAACTATAGATATGTGTCAAATCAATATACAATAGCTCACTACATTTTCTTAACTTACCAAAACAAAAAATAATAATAGCTTGGCTCATGTTTTTTTTAACAGTTCATAGATGGGAAGTAAGGATGGCAATCGATCGAGATAAAAATAAGTATTCATCCATACTCTTCTTGCTTGCACTGAAGATGAATCTCATGTATTGAACGGTAGATGTATAAAGTCAATTAAAAAAAATATATGACTCAACTTTTTTTTATATATTAATTATACATGATTCATACACGGCATGAATCTGATCGATATGACACGACTTGTTAGACTATAATTAATAAACAAATTATTTATAGGTGAAATATTTTTTAATACAAACTTGTTAAGACTCGACACAAAAGCCTAAGTATAATTATAGTTTGGCATGACCCCAATCAAACTCCATTTTCTCTCCAGTTTTCCGCGAAAAAATGGTGGGCCCAAGGGTTTTTTTCTTTACATAGAATTTTCCCTTGATATCAAAGAGGTGAACATCTTTATCCCCCTCCTATTTTTCAACCTCTATTTTTTATTCTCCCATTTTTTTCGCCGGAAGAAATCCCTATAATCAATCCAAATTTTCTTTGGTTGGCTAAAGCACTATTAGGTCAACGTAACAGACATCAAAAAATTGAGGTGGTGTTATGGTTGAAAAAATTGGAAATTCAGATACATGGCATGCCGTAGTCGTGTGTTGGCACGATAACAGTGGGGTGTTTGTTTGTGATAGTGATCTGATTATGGTTGGTTTAGTTGGGTTCAATGAGGAGGGAATTGCTAAATTTTTGTTTTTGATATAATTTATTTTCTTAATTTTAAATGCTTCATAAGGAATAAAATGGGCTGATGATAATATATTTCATTAGTCTTTCTAACTATTACATGTGGTCTAAAGGTGAGATGTGCCCGTTTCGGGTTGTTCTCAGACTCCCAAGAGATTAACAAACAGGGATTGATTCACGGAGTCCCCATGTTTTACTCATTAGTGTTTTTAGTGGTGGTGTGGTGACGGACTACTCTAAAAAATGTCTATAACTAAGGCTAACCAAATATTCCACATCGGAGGAGGCCCTTATGATTACGCCCAGGAGGGTCATTATCGATCTCCCTTCTCCCCTATTTCCGCTGCTCAAAAAAAAAAAAACTAACAATTAACCAACTCATTGTTTGACTTGGACTTAATGGTTATCATGGTCGCCATTGTTAAATCTTAAATTCTCAGATTTAAACGTTGCTATCTCCTTGCATTATATTTAATGTTTGACCAAAAAAAGAAGAGATAGTTGATGAAATTAGTCAATAAGTTCCAACGATAAATTTTTCCCGTCAAAAAGGACAATATATTAAAAAGACAAATTTGACCTTCATAATCAACTTTTAATTGGACACATTATCATAATATCATCCACCAATACTCTAATACTCCCACAATGCCACTGAGAATAACAATGACAACGGTGAACCTCCAAAATTTAATAACGACAATGAAGAAGGTGACAAAAATATTTTTTTCATCCTAACTGGGGGTGAAAATTTTCGACTCAAATTCGACACAAACTTGAAAATGACCTCATACACGAACAAGAAATATAAAAAATTTATTATTTTATGACTCAACTCGAATTTGACAGGGCACGATTTGATTGTTATCTCTAATCTTAGTCAGTACAAAAAAAAATTCATTATTTTTATTTTTTATGCATCCAACCAAACATAAAAGAAAGAAAGCGTATTATTCCTACTTCTATCCTTCAAGGATAGAAAGTGTATTCCTCCTACTTTCTATCCTTCATACTTTTTATCATTCCTACCAAACGGAGCATAAATTAAAAATTTTGATACAATAAATCTTTGTTTTTTTCTAATTATTCAAAAAAATTTAAAATTTTTGTTGGAAATTTTAATTTTAGGAGAGAGAGAGAGAGGGAAGAGGACAAGCGAGACGAGATGGAAAAATATTTGAAAGAGATATGATTTAGGCTTGATACAGTCTATTAGGGTAGTTAATTTGTAGCATGTACTAAAAGCATTAAAAAGACAGAGCCTAGACCTAACAACAAAAAAGAGCTTGGGAGTAGACTTTTGAACAATTTTCACAAAAAAAAATAAAAAATAAAATAACTAACAAGTGGGTGGCCCGTGAAATAAAATCCAAAATTAGGAGGATGTATAATATTACAAAGTATTAAGGTATTCATCAAAGTTAGGACAAATTATAAGGGATGTTTTCGAAAATTTCTCTATTTTAAAATAATATTTATGTGGTACTAGGTTGGTTTTTTCCGTACAATTTATGTTGAACCATATTTTTTTAAGCTTTGACCTAATTTTTTTTTCTTGTGTTACTTGATCTCAAAAACTTATAAGTTAACTCGGGAAAGTTGTAATTTTCAAAATTGATATTTAATAATATGAAACCCTAGTAGGTATGTTGGGTTCGTTGGCATTCATTTTTTGAATCAATCTTATAGAAAGGAAAATTTCAAATTGAGTGCTACTTTCCATACTTCTTTGTACCTATTACTATTACTCTTCGTGAATGAGCAAAGTTGTTCAGGCATAACTTTATTTTGCATGTTCCTAACTTTATTCGTCTTAAAAACTGAATCGTATGATTAGATTTTAAGCTCGAGCATGTGTCACTCAAATCGAATTCATTATGTTTGTAACATATAATTTTCATGGTGAAACTAATTGGAATGTAACACCCTTAGTTTAAGGTATAAGGTGTTTGACTGCTAATCAAGAGATTACAAATTCGAGTAACTAGAGCTTGAGTTCGTACCATAAAAGAGTCTAATATCGTGCCAAAACCTAGTGATAGTCAAGAGTCAAATTTGAGCATGTTAAATCTCAACTGGCTAAGCTCGATTATGACTCCCGAATTCCAATTCCTACTCTGATTCTTTTATCAACCAAAAGAAAAAGAACTGAATTGTCAAGGGGTGAAAATAGAGCCCTTTGGATTAGACATTGTACAGTAGTAGCTTCATCTCAAGTAATTATTTTTTCAAAGGGAATGGATTTTTCTACTAACCCAAAAAAATTAAACTGTAATTTTTTTTATTTGAGCTGATTTTGTACAGTGAAAATTACCACAACATTGTCGTTACTTCAAGGATTGTGAAGTGAGATGTCTAATAGGGAAGAAGACCTCTCCTATTTCAGGATCAGTCCTATCCCTAGATGTACAGTTCCATTAGATATATTCTCGATAGTACCCTAAATAAAAAGAACCTTTAGTCTCCCCAATCATTTAGGGTTAAGAAAATGTAATAGCACATTTATCTCTATAAGAATAATGCATCCCGAGGTGTAAAGTAGAAGAGAAAAAATGTTGTAATTAAGTATTAAATAAGACTACCTTTTGTTTTTTATTTTGCCTAGAGAATATTTTCATAACAAAGTGATGCAGGAGGCATGAATAAAAAAACGAGATCAGACAATAGAAACTATAACCTGTTGATTATCGTAATAATTTCAGATTCCAGTATTCAAAAGCCTTGTTAATTCCTAAGAATTCCAAGTTACTTGGGAATTGAAAGAGAACACGTTTTTAAGTTTTATGTTGAATTAGTTTTCAACACAATAAAAATAAAAAACTCTAATAGTCCTAAATTACTAGAAAAACAAGTAAATACGCAATATTATAAAATTACCCCAAATAACGCAATAATAATAAAAAAGTACATAAAATGTGCTATAAATGTCAATTTTCAACAATTTTGGTTTAGTTTGAATAAAACTTTAAGTTGAGTTCTCTTTCAATTCCCAATTGACTTGGTATTCTTAAGAATCAACAAAGCTCTTGAAGACTATGATCTAAAATTATTGCGATAATCAATAAATTATAATTTCGATTGTCTAATCTGGTTTGTTTATTCATGCGGCACTGCATTTAGAATATATGTTGCACTGTCAAGTACCCATCTAAGGCAAACTAGCACTAGCTATGCTTCCTGCTTGTGGTTCCTTTAAAAGAATTGTTGTATATTCATACCCTATCTAAATTCAAGTATAAAAAAATGAAATCCAATATACGAAATTCTCAACATTAATAATCCGTTAAGGATACGATGAAGATAAAGGGTACCATATGTATAACTTCAAACATTTGCCTGCAAATTTATACTCTGATAGAAAAGATTT